GGCCATTGAGTCCACCTGTGACTCAAAAGATAGTCTGCTATCTTGAGACAATATGAGGACAGAGTTGGCAATCCGGGTTTGTCACAGATCTACTCACTATGGTAATTATTCATTATGTTAGCCGTTGCTTGTTGCAAGTTTTAGGTTGGGAAGGGCTGTCTGTGAGCAAGTACAAACTTACACCCAGGAAAGGAGGAAAGGGCCATCCCCCAGAATAGTCTGTAAATCATTGACGAAATATTTGAGTGTCGGGTGGTGTTAACAGGTGATGTATGATTGTTTTCTCTTCTGGGTCCAACTATTCCTGGGTTCCAATTTGACCTTGTCAATCTCGTTTCTTAATGAACACTGTAGCCTGAGAAGTGTTGCTTCTCAAGCCTTAAATTGTGAGCCTTTGTGCAATGAATCCCAATAGACAGTATTGTGTAGTACAGCTTGCCTGTACTAATCTGTATGTTCGCGATTGAATCATGTAAATATATGAAGTGGTCAGTAGGTTTCTGATATAAGGTAGTGTTTATATATCTCTTATGTAATAGTACTATCAATAGAACAGAACAAGAATTTATTGTGTGGTCTTGTTTAGGCTCCAGTTGTGAAAATGATGGAACTTCAACAGAGTCTCCCATCTGTGAGAGAAGATAATAAGGCTGTCATCTGTGAATGTCAGGTAGAGTAGAATCTCAAGAGCTGAGGAGGTAAATTTGCTGAGGTGCAAAAAAGATTTTATACTGTGCAGTGGTGCTGGTTGCCTAAGGCCATGCCTTTGTTCTGAAGGTATATTCAGGCAACTTGGAAGAAATAGTACATTTCAGGAAGGGGAAAGAGATATAAGATTACCGTTTCTCTCTCCCAACGAGGCCACCACTGTTGTGATATGTAGCCAGGCAGATCGCCAGGCCCAAACCTAAGTATGTTATAGCTGAGTTTGTCCCAAACCTAACTATGCTTATAATTATGAGTTTGCTGTGTTGTATATTGTATTGTTTATTATGCAGCATATGGATTTTATCATGATGCAAGCCACCCAGTGAGCCTATGGCTAGTGGGGCGGCTTAAAAATTGAATAAATAAATGGCCGCATAATGTAGTATGGGAGGTAAATGGAAAATGTACTCCCTCCAAGAGGATCTCCCTCCTCCAGGATATTTACTATAAACTAAGAGTAAGCAATAGTTTTGAGTCGGTGGGTACCTGTGACACTTTGAAAAAGAGTCTTGGAAGCAGTGCAGATTACCATGGGGGAATAGCTGGTCACAACTGATTCAGAGCTTCCTGTCCCTGGATTCTGGTTCCCTTCTCTTTGCTTATGGATTCTGTTCACACCATCTCCACCCCACCACCAACTTGAATAGAGATGGGGGAAAGGGTGCCCTGCCAGAAAAAAAAATGCTGGAGCAACACCCCTGCCCCCCACAACTGGTTTTCCTAATGAAACTCCCCCCTCCTTTCTTTGCCGGGCTCTTTTCAAGTTCATGAACTTATATCACTCCACCGGCAGGTATACTTTGGGGTCTTGATGGGTGCGGTGTTGCTGATTGTGATGCAAGCTATCAGAATCTTCAGCAAGTCCTCTTCCTCCCTTCTGCTGCCTCCAGCTTTCTTTGGGATGGGTCATCGTCAACTAACACACAAATATGCAGTGTGGCAAGCCTCCCTCAATTATAGATGACAGCTAAACTCACCCATGGCACCTCACTTCTGATTTCTTTAGCCCTTTCTCAGTCTTTCTATCAACACTCTGCTAACTTCCAGATTCCAGTCAGTTTTTATTTTTTATTTTTTTGTTTTCAATGCAATTTTCTTTTTCATCCCCAAACTAATGTGCTTCTGTGTACTCAGGGCATTCCCCAAGTATATAGATGCTATTACCTTATTTTATTTATGTGGTCTATTTTGCTTTGAGATGGAAACTCAACCCCCTGAATTCATTATTAGAAGGCGTAATGATGATAATCCAGGGACTACATCAGCAAAACAGACACACCTCCTGGCCATCGCTTTTCTTCCATGCAGGGGATAGAAAACATGGCCCAGTTCACTCACAGTCTCAAGCCCATGCTTATTATGCTGAAGTTGTATTCCACAGTCACATGACAATTCACAACAAAGCTCAGTTTGTTGTGAATTTAGTTTACTAAATACCAACTTTGGCATTGTTCTAGATTTGCTGTGCTTTGAAGCATGGTGATGCTATAAAAAGAGAGGATAAAAGGAAAAGGGAGTTGGGTAGTAAGTTTTACTGACATAAATCTCTCATGGGCAAAAGGTTTGCTACTTTCTATACTACTATATTTCAAATGCAATGATAAACATTTCTAACTTCAAGAAAAAATTCTTCAGCAATATCCTTTTTCCCATTCCCTTCCATCACAGTTTTTCCCTTTTTACCTGCTGCCTCTGGCAGTGAATATTAATTTTCAATAGATTGAGGTACACCCAGATTTAGTCGTATTTAGAAGAAACCACTGAAATCAGTGAGACTTGCTAAGTTCCATTGATTACAATGTGTCCACTCTATATATGACTAAATCTGGATCCAACCCATTATATTTTTTGCCCAACAACTCCCACCGAAAATGCTCATCCCCAGAACTCGAGATTGGTACTCTAGACCTGGTGTCAGGAGGACATTGTGCAAGAAACAACATGCTTTTAGGGGTGAAAGAAATAAGAGACATACATGATAATAGAGGGTAAGAACAAAGGAGAGAGCTTTTTCAAGATTCCATTCCAGAGAAGATCCCAAATTTCAGTATGGGTTCAAGTTAATCACGGGAAAGAATAGAACAAGAAAGAGAAAAAGAAAAGAGACTGGAAGAAAGGTCAAAAATAAGGGGGAATGAAAAAAGTGTTCTACAGGCTTTGGTATGCATGAGTTTTCTCTCACTTTTAATTTAGAAACTTGAGGAGTTTCCCCAAGTATGTAGGAACTCCTAATTCTCCTGTGGGTGACCTATATTCAACCTGTCTGAGAGGCATGGGACCCTTGGCCCCTTGGCCTCTTGGCAAGAGAGCTCCAGTTCCCCAAGCAAGATTCTGGTAATGTTATTTGAGGCTTGCTATATGGGCATATGGCAGGGAGGAAATTTCTGGCCAGTAGGAATTAGAAAAAGTCCTTTTTCTTTTCCTCCTCTACCCATGCATATAATGCACTTAGGGAAAAGATTTTAAATTTCATGGTGTGCACCCCCAATCTTCACAGTCTTCTCCATTTTAGTATACTTTAACTTAAATGAACTATTCCCCCCAGTTCCCCCCTGCCAAAATGATGCAAAGCTGTTTTTAATAGCCCCATGGCTCATTGTTGGACCATATCATTTTTCTTTAATCTACATATGAATATAATTCTTCATACTTGAGTTGTGCACTTAAGTGAGCAAGAACCACATTATTTTTAGGTGGCCCAATTTGCTTCTCAAATGATATGCAGCAGACCACCCAAGTTAAGTATGGCACCTCTTTCTTCTTCCATCTTTATAACACCTTCTTTTGCAGCACTATAAATTATTAAAGGTTAAATGTGAGTTAGCTGCCATGCTCCTTTATAAGACTTCATTAGTACACGTTAGGAAAGGAGACACTTGTAAAAGAAGGGGAAAATGGGATGGGAAGAAACATTTGTCACCTTTCCTTATCTTTCTCTTAAAATCTCCTATTACAGTAAAGGGTGCAGGTTAAAGAAGATAAAAAGACCTATGGTGTACGTTACATCTTCATGACCCAGAAGCTATAAATTATTTTGGGCTCATGTTAGCCAGTCCCCTTTCCCTTCCATTTCCCCCTTCCCCTCTCCCCCAGTTGATGCCTGAAATATTTTGTGCCTCATTTCCTCTCAATAAGACTTAGGTCCTGCAAGCTACGGAGGCTGGGCACTGAAGTGTAACTGGGGAGTTCCCTGAGTATGTGAAAACAACTACTGTGTTTTTGGGTGTCCTCATTTCACTATCAATCCATCTCTTTTAACGTTGGGTTTAGCGGGTAGGATCATGGTGATGAGTTCGGATTAGAAAGACTGAAAGGAACTATTTTACTGTCTTTTGTAAAAACGGAAGATATAGCTCCTTCTTTCAACCCCCCTGAAGCTTTATTGTATGAGTCCTCCCGTGTGTTGCAGTTTCATTACATTGATACTGATTCAGTTATACTGCATTCATTACATCCATTCATTGATACCGTTCAGATAGTATATAAGGCAGTGAGGTATCTCTGGAGGAGTGAAGATGTGCTCTTCCTCTTCCAGGTGGTTCAGGGCTGGAATCCTTTGTTGATCCTCATCTTCTTTTCAGATGCCAAGCAAGTAAGTAGAGCAGTGCCAACATTGGGTCGTTGCATGGGTAGACCTGAGCAAACCAGCCCGCCAAAGCCTGCCTTGTAAGTTTGCTCCCTTATAATTCGGCTCCTGTTTTCCTCTCTTCCCAACGCCCCCTCCTCCCACTCTCGCTCGCTCTTTTCCCACCCCCGCATTAGCAGCCCGCAGCCCGGGTGGTCTCCTCGCCGGACGTGTGCTTCAGCACCACAATGTGCGAACAGTTCCTGCTTTCCGGAAAGGATTCTTGCAGCTGAAGCTGTTCGGGAGCGGAGGGAGCGGGGGGAAGACCCTTCCCACATACGGCACCCCCCTCCCAGGCCAAACCTTCTCCACAGCATCCATGGTGCTGCTCTCTTGAGCAAGCAGGCTGCTCTTCCCTGGCGCGTTCTCCCAGGTCCTTGTCTATTTAGCATCCCAAGAATAGGAAAAGGAGGTGGCTGCTGCCTATTGTCAGAGGAACAGCTGTTGCTGCCGACAAGTCTTTTCGGAGCCACATATGGCCTGGGACACTGATGACGAAGCACCATTTTTAAAAAAACAGCAGCCCGACTCTGATGCTTCCCACCCCTTTCCCTCGGGTGCTCCTCCTGGCCCCTCCCTTCAGCACCCCCTCCCTGCCTTTCATGGAACAGCATTGGCCACGAACTCAGGAAGCCTCGCGGAGCGGGAGGGGGAGAGGAGGGTTCCCCTTCTTCAAGGCTGCCGAAGCAGGAGGGCTCGCGGGGGAGGAGGCCCGCCGGCTCGCTGCCCCTTTGATCAGCAGAGCGGCTCTGCGCCTCCCCTCTGCCCGCTGCGCTGCTGAACAGACCGACCGGCTGCTCTTGCCTTGCAGAGTGGAACTTTTTAAAGCCATTCGTCGTGAGCAAGCGTTTGAAAATGCCTGTCCGAAGGGGGCATGTGGCCCCGCAGAACACCTACCTGGATACAATCATCAGGAAATTTGAAGGACAAAGTGAGTAGAACGTCTTTCTCGCCTTTCCTGCCCTGTGTTTGCTTCCCTTGAAGGTCAGAACTAACCAGAGTAAAGCTCCATTTTCATTTCACTCACATCCCAATATCGAGAGAAATGCGGGGTAGGCAAAGGAAGGCTTCGGGTCTGGACACATTCGGAACATACTTCGGTGACTTCTTAAAGTTCTTGGATATTAGGGTAGCCCAATTGCTGGGGTGTTGCCAAGCTCACACCTACCTTGTGTCAAGTTGTTGAAAAGGGACTAATTCAGGTTGTGCGGGTGTGCATGTAAATCCAGGCTCAGTGATTTTAATAAAGCCCCTTTAGATTTATCAACATAATGTATGGAATTAAACAAAAAGCAATAATAACTGTTTCATTAGAAAATACCACTCTTACAGGACTGATGCTTGTTTATTGAAAAGGGTGGAATGTTGTTTTAAAAAATGATTGAGCAGAACAGCAAATATTAGCGATGCAGGTTTTTTGCTGTTTTCCTTATGCTCCCATTTGTGCTTGGCTTTGTTTTCCTGAAAAAAAAATCGATTACTGGAAATAATTGCCACAAATCACACATTTTCATTAAAAACATTTTAACAACCCTGAAATCCAGTTTTGGAGGCGGCCATGGTTTATTATTTAAATAAATAAATATCTGACTCTTTATTCTACCTCAGAAAACATCAGTTACCTGAGCTGACTGAGATCAGGTGGACTACCATTAGGTAGCTGCAGGGAGTTGAATTGCCCAGCTGCATGAACTTCTGCTTGTTTGTTCATATTTACATAACCTCAAATCCTTTTAATAAATGAAATTGCATTAGGCACAGAAAATAAATTGGCTAAATGAACATTCTGATATTCAAATCTTTGGTTATCTGAAGTTCCAGTATCAAAATAAGGGGCTTCCTTCGAGCAGTAGGTGCTGGGCACATGTTGCCATACCTGCAGTGAATGGAGATCTTTACTGAACAAGTCATGGCTCTCGACATGCATTAATACACTGCAAAATTGCCCCCCTCCATTGCAGGAGGCTTTTGTACAGATTGACCTGTGGAAATATGTCCCCTCCCTTGCCAATGGCTTTTCTCCATTGGATCTCTTACATATAACGGGAGTTCCCCGAGGAGCCTATGTTGATAACATAATGTGGTCCAACAGGGAGAAAGCGAGAACTGGGCTCAGATCACAGTCATGCACTGCCACAGCAACTTATTGTCATACCTTCAGCTTCCTGACTCGAAAATCAGAATTGGATTACTCTAATTCACAGGCTTGCTGAGAGGCTAATCAAGTTGCCAAATTACAGGTATTTGTTTAGACGGTGCTTCCATTTATTTCAGTGCCACTAGGTTTTACTGACATAGGAAAAACAACATTTGTACCCATCCACAGATGAGATAGGTAGAAAGTTGCTGGCTGGCCAAGAGTAATTGCTTTTTCACATGAACTCAGTTAAATCTATGGAACACATGGTCACTGGAAGCTATCGTGCCCATTAGCATGAATGACTATTAGAAAGGATTAAACTGATTATGGAGACTATGTTTGTGAAGTGTAATTCACCAGATACTTGGATAAAAACCCAAGAAAAGCTATCACCAGCTTGCCCAGCTTGCAGCCTTAATTAATAATATGCAACGGAGTCAGTGATGCTTAGAGCAGACCCACTGAAATCAGTGGGATAAATAACTAGTCCTACTGGGCTGTAGTCAGGGTTTCCCTCCTGTAGATGCAAATGCTCTATTCACAGAGAGTGTCTCAGCGCAGTTTGCACCATTCAGCAGAGTCCCCAGCCCACTGGGCAGTGTTTTCATAGGGCTGGAGGGGGATGTTCCAACAGGGGAAAAGGTGGCTGTTCTGCTAAGCCAAATTGCATACACCTAAATCTAGATCCATCTCATTAGTTTCAATGGTTCCTCTGATGCCTCCATGACTAAGCCTGGAAACAACCTGGTTATATGTACATGTATGTGTAACAGCAGGACAGGTGTATTTCAAATGTATGAGCTGTTTTGGTGACTCACTCTGGAAAACCATGAGTGTTTCCCCATCCGTCCCTATACAAATAAAACACCCATGTGTAGCAGGAACTGTGTCAGCCTTCTGTTTACCAGAGACAAAAATATATCACTGGACTCTGCAAGGTATCAGACATTGCTCCAAAAAAAAAAAACCTAAATGCCATCAGTGCTCATCAAAAAGCACCAGTGATAATGCAAGTGGGCCAAATGTGTCTGCCACGGCCAGGGCAAATATACCTGTACACTATCGGATTTAGATTTGATTTCCCAAAACCCACTTATAGTAGGCAAACTGGTCACATTTTTAAGATTAAATGGACTAAAATTAGACATCAAGCATAAGAGCATCAATAAGTCTGTCAGTAAACACATTAAAGAGATGGACATACAAGTAAAACTGGAAGTTCTAAAGAAATTGAAATCAGGGGCTAATTAAGAATGTGAGATGACAAAATAAGAGACAATATAGAAATTTGATTATGTTAATCAGCAACTCAGCTGGGACTATGATTCCTATAAATACTCTTAAGGTGTGATCTTACAGTCTCCTGACATCACTTGGAGAGCCAAAGGATTATTCCAAGTCCCGTCTCTGACATCTTGCGAGCTCAGTGCTGCAACTCTGAAGGCTCAGCCCCTCCCCCACCCCGGCACACCTGGCAGGGCATGCCTAGGGTCACAGATGGGTCTCAGAGAAGTGGAAACAGCCTGTGGTGAGGGATGGGGAGAGAGGAGACTGGGCCTGATGGTTCCTCCCATACACAGACAGTGTCCCAGCCTCCTTCTGCTCCCTTCACTACTTTATCTGGATGGCCAGGAATGGTTATAAGGTGCAGCAGGAGTACATGGAGCAGAAGTGGTGAACTTGGCCACTTTTGTGCCTTCCCTGTGCATTGGATGCATGCATCCCTCCAAGTTCAGATGCTTGTATGCATTGAGGGCAGGGGCATTAGATCTTAGTGCATCCTATGGTTTGTAGCTGTTTACTTTAAGAGAACTGGATGCTTGCTGCAGTTCAGCTGTCTTTGCAGACCCAAAGCATCTGATGCAATGATTTGCAACCTATGGAAGTTCATGAGCTTAAAAGAAACCCTGAACAACTAAATGTCTACTTTTGTGCAACACATCATCCCTTGAATTCTGATAGGTGTTCTTAAGTTGTCCCATTCCAAATTTATGAATTCTCCTTAGCTGACATAAGGATAACTTTAAACAAAGGATCCTTTAAACAAAGGATCCTGATGCTCATTTATGATTAAGAGCTGGCCTGTTGAATTAGAAATAACTCCAGAAAATAATTTTGTAACATGCTTACTATCTTGTGTGTGTCTGCAACTGTTACTAAATTTAAAACAATGCAACACAGCATTGCTTTTATATCTTCGTGTGAGATCTTAGGACACAATCCTACCCCCCCCACCCCCACTGCCCGAAGTTGTCTGAGTAGCCACAGGATTATTCAGAGCCCAAGCTCTGTGGTTGTGTGACCCAGGAGTTGGACTCTGGAGCCCTTGTCCCCGTATCATGTCCCTCAAGGCCAGCATGGAAAGAACTCCACTGGCTGATTCCCTGAGGATACAATTGGCCCTTGGAAGGAAGGAAGAGGGGCATGCTGGGGTCAATAGCTTACAAATAAATATAATAACTAGCTCTCTGGGCAGTCAACAAAAGTTAAAATGAAAGAAAAAATGAAAAACAAACAAAAATTAATCAAGAGGCGCACCTGTTTGGGGAGTTCATTCCAGAACTGGGGTGCCACCAAAAAAAAAAAAAAATGTATCCTGGTAGCCACCTGTCTCACTTCCTTTGGAACAGGCTCCTGGAGAAGGACACTTAAAGATGACCTCAGGATCAAGGTACATAGGGGATGCAGCAATCCTCAGCCTACATGATTTGCTATTGTCTTTCATTCCCTTCCCATTTCATCTGATAGTCCAAAACAGCCATCTTGATGAAATAAAAGGCACACTTAAATGCATGCCTTGCTAAGTCATTGGACACATGCAAGCCTCCCATTTGAGAGGTTAATGAGCATCTGCAGCAAAGGAAATTGGATTGTGCTCTTATTGTCTTGCCCTATTTACACTGGACTTTTTGCATTTAAAAATCTTTTATTTTATGTCAGTAGTCCTGACCACCACGTGATGCTTTGTGTAAGACACAGGAAGGTTCATATGGAATAAACACTTCGGACAGGTGTGTTGGGCCAGAGTAGTGTGGAAGGAATAACTTTCTGGATTGGAAAGTCAGAGTCTAAAATCTAGTTCAGGATAAGGATTTTGTGTTTTGTCTTGTTTGTTTGTTTGTTTAAATATTTCTCTGTGGCCCAGAAATGCAGGCTGTTCTGTGGGAATTTTATGTGCAGTTGTGGTTTCTTTTTCCCCCCCAAAGTCTCATCTTAGAGGACCTCCATCATGCCACTTTCATTTGCTGATGGTGTCCATCATAGAGTTATAAAAGAACTCAAGCATGAAACCATTGACCTTCTTACCAAAATATTTAACATGTCCCTAAAATTAGCCCTTGTACCAGAGGACTGGAGAATGGCCAATATAACACCAATTTTTAAAAGGGGGTCCAGGGGATCTAGGAAACTACAGGCCAATTAGCTTAACATTTGTTCTGGGTAAGCCGCTTGAAAGAATTATTAAAGATAGAATCAGCAGGACAGGAACAAGAACTGCTGGGGAAACAAATCAGCATGGCTTCCGCAAGGGGAACTCTTGTCTCATTAACCTGTTGAAGTTCTTTGAGTGGGACTATAAGCATGTAGACAAGCCAATCCAGTAGCTATCATTTACTTGGACTTTCAAGGTTCTTGACAAAGCCCATCACCAAAGGCTCCCAAATAAATTAGCAATCATGGAATGAAAGGGGGTGGGGGGGGTCAACATATGGATCACTAACTGGTTAAAGAATAGAAGACAGAGGGTGGAAATAAATGGCAACTTTACAGTGGTTAAAACCAAAAGGGAT